AAGAAGAACGAGAAAAGAAACAAGAAGAGAGATTACAGCAGTTGTTGGAAGAGAAAGAAAATAAACAAGAAGAGAAATTACAGCAGTTGTTAGTGGAGAAAGTAAATAAACAAGAAGAACGAGAAAAGAAACAAGAAGAGAGATTACAGCAGTTGTTGGAAGAGAAAGAAAATAAACAAGAAGAGAAATTACAGCAGTTGTTAGAGGAGAAATTACAGCAGTGGCAACTGGAACAAGAAAGGAAACAGGAAGAAAGTCAGCAGCAACTACAGGAAAATCAACAACAATGGCAAGAGGTACAAATGAAAAACATTAGTAAATTTAAAAGCAAATTAGATACGTTAAAGGACGATCTATTGTCTTTTACACAAGGAGGATACATTGACCAGCGACTTAATCAGCCCCAGACAATGGCAAGCCTCTTACAGAGCCCGCAGCTAAACCCTAATGCAGACATATTTAGTCCTGTTAGAAGTCACATCCCAGATATGAATGTCAGTAATAGGAGTGATCCAGTGCGAAGGAAGCCACAGGAATTCGATGGGAAAGCACCGTGGGAAGCATATAGAGCACAGTTTGAGCTACTGGCAGAGATGAATGGATGGACAGAGGAGCAGAAAGCAGTATATCTGGCAACGAGCTTGAAGGGACAACCACTGGAAATACTTGGACAGTTGACAGCAGCCGACACACACAACTATAGAACACTGGGGTCGGCTCTAGAACTCAGGTACGGAACCCAAAATCAGTCAGAAGTCTACAGGGCCAGTTTCAGTACGAGAGTCCGTGCTAAAGGGGAGATCCTGCAAGAGCTGGCACAAGACTTGGAAAGCATGGCACACAAGGCTTACCCAACTGCACCACCCAATCTCCTCAAGTTGTTGCTGAGGGATCAGTTTGTAGACGCCTTGGACAGTCCCCAACTTAAGGTACAAGTGAAGCAAGCACACCCCTCTACCATGCAGGATGCAATGGCCAGAGCTCTCGAATTTAAATCCTACATTAAGTCCAGCACAGAGGTACCGAGGTTGGTACAGTCATCTGGATTCAAGGCCAGAAAAGGTCTGCTTTCAGAGAGGTTTGAGGGACTTTGCTGACAATGTAATAAACCTGGGCACAAGAGAGCTCAATGCTGGAAACTTCAACACAGTGGAGGTGCCACAGCAGGAAAGGCTGGTATCCAGAATGATTGTTGGAACTGTGGAAAGCACGGCCATTTGAGAAGCCAGTGTAGGAAGAATATTACCAACAAGTCGACCTCAAGGAGACCAGTAGTGGTTGGGTTTGAGTGACGCCCACCAACCACATCATGAAAGTCCCAACAGCTAGGTATAAAATGCCAAGCACACACAGTGTCTATGTGACAGGAAAGCTGGATGGCCAAAGGTGCAGCTTTGTCATAGACTCTGCGTCTCAGCAAACCCTTGTGAGCATCAAGGTGTTAAATCACGAAGGAGTACCAGAAGCCATACAGAAGCTTTATGGTGTAACAGGACATTCTACAAGATTGTGGGGACCATTGTGGCTAACTATTGAGCTCATGGGCATAAAGGACAGACAGAAAGTATGCTTGGCTGACATTGAAGACGAATGCATATTAGGATTGGACTGTCTACTACCGAGGAAGTTTGTAATTGATTTTGATAAAATGACGTTTGGAAACAAAAAGGCCAATTTCTGGTACCTGTTAAAAGAGAGGTTGAACTAATTAGGTGCCATCAAGCTGAAGTCAAGCTGACTGAAGTTGATGATGATGAAGTGGAACTAAATATAGATATCAAAGCAGAAGAGGAGAAAAACCAATATTTGAAGCCAATAATT